TTTCTTTCTTTCTTTCTTTCTTTCTCTCTCTCTCTCTCTCTCTCTCTCTCTCTCTCTCTCAAATAAAAATTAAATGTTTAAAGGACTAAGAAGAAAAGTCACTTCTGACATGAGATTGATTGCTGGTGCCTTCATGGACACCCCTATCTTGGATAGGTTGTTTCCTGACTTCCCAGTCTAGTCTAGTAGGATATGCTGATGGTCTCCTATCTAACCCTCCTTCAGTTGATCAGTTAAAGGGTTGTAAAATATTAAAACAGGAGGAACTTAACGGGCATCACGTTGCCCTCTGTTTTAAATAAATTAAGTTTCAAGGCCTTGACACTGCAGAGGAAAACCTTGTAATCGTGTGCATGAATTTCCCTGAGTGATAATCAAAAATATGCATAGAAGGGACTCAGGTGTTGCTTTGACCCCAGAAGAATAAAGGTACCGTATTGCAAAGGGCCAACTTTTCCCGCTGCCTCTTCAGCTTGTATCTTCAGGACGTGGGTCTTCAGAGATCCTTGGCTGGAGCCAAAGAAGATTCCCAAAGAGGCATCATCGAAACATGCTATGCTAGGCACGATGGTTAACCAGTTTAGGAAGCTCAGGTTCCCACTTATGATAAGCAGTACCTAAGAGGAAGGAAGGAAAAGAATGAAAATGAATTGAAAGTTACTTTTTCCTCCCCATTAAGTTCATTACAGAACTTAACAAATGAACAACAGTCACAAAGTTTAGCTTGCAGTGAGCAAAATGATCTGCAACTGGAGGTTTGAGAAGGCAGCGATCTGTAAGAGGATAAACCAAAATATTACATTAGGGTTGAGGATCCTGTGCTGACCAGGTTAATGGAATAAACTATTGAAGTAAGCCATCCGTGAGAATGTTATGTAAACACAATCCCGTTGTTCTATAGAATTATGTCACAAGAGGGGGGTGGGCAACTCAGAGCCTCCAGATAACTTCTACCTATTCTCATTTTTGCAGCCTCCCTGACTGAGTCTCTGAAAATCGGGGGCCAATTTTGCCCCCGAGTTGGGAAAGTGCCTAGGGAGGTGACCTGTGGTTGGTTCCAAGCTGTGGTGTCAGTTTTTTGAGGGTAGTGCCTCCAGCCTTAAAAGCGGTGGTGGTACTCCCCCACTTGAAGAGACCATCCTTGGATTCAATGGTTTTAGATAACTACTGCTCTGTGTCCCACCTTCCCATTTTAGGGAAGGTTGTTGAGAAGGTGGTTGGACTGCACTTGCCGAGAACCCTGGAGGAAGTGGATTATCTAGACTGTCTCAGTCAGGTTTCAGGCTAGGATTCAACACTGAGACCGCTTTGGTCATGCCTGCTGATGACCTCTGGTGGAGCTGGTAGTACATTCATCCTTGTGCTCCTTGATGTCTCAGCAGCTTTCAATAGTGTCAACCATGGTATCCTTCAGGACCAGCTCCAGCTGATGTTGCTTGTGGGGGAGAAGTTGCTCACTAGGCCCCTCCTTTGTGGGGTGCCATAGGGCCTGATTCTCTCTCCCCTCTTTTTAACATCTACATGAAACCACTAAGTGAGGACATCCACCAGTTTGGGGTTCAGTATCATCAATATGCTGATGTTACCAAATTATATCTTTTGACCTAAGGCTAGCCAAGTGAGGCTCTCAAAGTCCTGTCCCAGTGCCTGGAGAATGTGAGGCCAGGATAGGGAGGAACTGTCTCCAAACTCAATCCTACCAAGAACGAATGGCTGTGGGTATTAGGGCCATCTGGTTCTTGGGATATTGCTTCTTTGACTTTGGATATTCCATCTTTGACTTTGGCTGTACTTCCCCATTCAAGGATAGTGCACAATCTGGGGGTCTTCATGGACTCACAGCTCCTGCTTGATGAGAAGCTTTGCACAGCTTTATCTGGGGTGCCAGATGTGCCCTTTCCTGGATAGGGAGGCTCTTCATAACATCACTCATTCCCTAGTCACCTCGTGGATTAACTATTGCAAAGGGCTTTATGTGGGGCTGTCCTTGAAGACCACCCAAAAACTTCAACTGGTCTAGAATTCAGTGGCATGGGCAATTACGGGCATGCTTCAGTATGCCCATATGACACCTCTTCTCCACAAGCTGCACTGGTTGCTAGTTTGCCTCTGGGTGCAATTCAAGGTGCTGGTTATGACCTATACATCTCTACACCGAATAGGGCCAGCTTATTTGAGGGACCGCCTATTTCCTGTAGCGTCTGCTTGGCCAATTCAAGCTGTCAGGGTTGGCACGCTTCAGGTTCCTCCGATCAAACCATGCCATCTTTCAGGGCTCAGGAAGTGCAGCTTCTCTGTCGCATTGTCTGCCCTCTGGAATGAGGCTCCCTCTGAGATGCAGACGGGTCCCACCCTGATGGCTTTCTGGAGGGCCACAAAGACCTGGATGCTCTCCCAGGCCTTGAGCTGGGGGGGCTGCAGCCCTCTGCCTGAGGCTGGATGTCGCTGGGCAGGCTGTCTGCTGCATTCACCATCTTGCTTTTTCCCTTCTTTTCTCGTTTGGTTTTTGTAGCATGTTTGCTCCTATTATATGGTTCTTATTCTGTTTATTGTACTGTGGGCGACTCTGGGATCGGGTGGTGCCAGATCGAATCAAAGCATAAATAAACAAACAAACAAATAAAATTACCCCTGTTCAACATTTGCAATTTTTCACAGATTTTTGTGCAAAATAAGAACCAAGCTAACGTTTTAAGACTCTGAGGCTCAATGGGCAGTTTTGCTCAGTTCCCACTCCTACTGCAAAGAAAAGGAAAAGGAAAAGGAAAAGGAAAAGGAAAAGGAAAAGGAAAAGGAAAAGGAAAAGGAAAAGGAAAGGAAAG